AAAAAGAATTCTGGGTGCATATGCAAGGGTTTTTGAATCAGTGGACTGAGTAACAAAGGTCTATTCTTACCAATGAGGCTGTTGTAATCAGAACTACTGAAGGCCTGGAGAGATTAAAAAGGTGGAGGAGGAAGGATTCCTACTCTTCTGCAGAGAGCTGTCTACACCTGCCCTTGACAACAGAGCCTCTGATCTCTAGCCCTGGAACTTGGACTGACACCAGCAGCCCCCACCTTCAGCCTTGCAGCATAAAGCCTTGGATGACTGTTTTAAATGTTAGTTTGCTGCTTCTCTTTGCCTCCTCTCTGGGGATTTCAGGAGATGTGAGCTGTCTGTCTTCCACCTCCACTACTTCCTCTTTGACCTTTTTATTATATATACAATTTTACCTCATTTGCCTTTGGTTATTTTCTTACCTTTGTCTTAATATTCTCAATACCTTTGTCTTTAAATCTATGTTCTCTTGAAAAATGAGTTCCTTGAGCTCTATCAGTTTTATTGATTCAAAGAATTTCTTCATTTGGTTTTAATTGATTTTTAATATTGTGCCCATTTTTTAACTTGGGCTTTGACTTTCTCAGTTAAGGTCTTGTGTATGTATAGGTTTAAATAATCCAAAATACTTGCAATATTTAATGCCTTTGGGAATTAGAGTTGTTCTGATACCATTATTTTCTCTCTTTCTTTTTTTGCAATAAAATAAGGGAAGAGGAAAGGAAAGTGTTCATAAACTGAATTTTTTTTTAAAAAAAAAACAGTAGGTTTGTATAAAAGAAAATTGTGTTTGTATTTTCATTTTGTGACTAGGTTTAGGCACAAAGTAGAACAATATTCCTAGTTTAAGAGCACCCTCTTCTGTCACTGTAACAAAGTGGCATTTCTTTAATGAATGGCTTTTAAAGGAATTTCCATTTCCAGAACCCATCATATACTTACTCCCTATATTTTTTTCTACATACTTAGAAATTCCGCAGTACACTTGTGACTGTTAATTTGGTTTGTGACTAAGCAATTAATTCACATCTCAATGCATGTAAGCACATTTTAATGCAATGATATTGTTCTTGAGAGTACCAATCTTTCTTCAGCATGTATTCAATTCATTCATTCACTCACTGCTTCATTTATTTTTTGGTCAACACATTATTCAAACAGTTGTTGAAGCATTAGGCTTGTGTTGTACACTGATAATAAATGAAAAGGATGATCTTTACTTTCAAAGGGAAGGATGCTCCACCATCAAATATTGCCAATTTTTAAAGTTGAAAAGGGGGGAAATTATTGTTTTCTTTTCTTTTTACTTTTTTTGGTCTTTTTATTTTAAAAAATTAAAATTATTAGGCTGTGTGTGTGTGTTTGTGTGTGTGTGTGTGTGTCTGTCTGTCTGTCTGTGTTGATGTGGTGAGGATGCACAGGGAAGCCAGAGCTCAACCCTGTGGAATGCATTCTCTTCTTCTGGGGAGTGGACTCAGGTCCTCTGGGTTGTGTGCAAATCTCTTTGCTTGCTGAGTTTTCTCCCCAGCCTGTTTTCTCTCTTAAATTGCAGTTTAAAGAAATGTTTTAATATAGGCTTATCTAGAAATAGTATTTAAAATTCCAAAGTCTATTTTTCCTTCTTTTATTTATGACGTTTTGTTTGACTAGTACACAGATTTCGATCACTTTATTCAGGTCTCCAATTTAGACAAATGCCTGATTACACTGTCCCACACACTCCATAGATTGCTGTTGTTATAACAGAGTAATGAAAACTATAAAATGATGTCAAAGGATTTGTGTGTATGTCATTTTTGTTTTTCTTTTGTTTTAAATGGAATATTCTGAATACTGGAATGTTTGCCTTCTATATGAAAAATGGATTTAGTTTTATTTTATGTGTATGATTGTTTTTCCTGTGTGTATGCAAGTGCACCATGTGTGTGCGATGCTCATGGAGGCCAGAAGAGAGTGTCAGATTTAGCTACCATACAGGTGCAGGGAGCTGAACCCAGGACCTCTGCAAGTACGGTCAGTATCCTTAACATCTGAGCCATCCTCCCAGACCCTTGCCTTCTATATTTCATTACTATATTGTTTGATGAATAAATTATTTTTACCCGTTTCAACAGTTATTAATTTTTAATTTCATAGTGTATTTCCTTTAAAATTGATTTACACTATAATTTTGCTTTTGATTTTTTTTTTTTTTTGTCTTTTTGAGACAGGGTCTCCTTGTATCCCCAGCTGTCCTGGAACTCACTATGTAGACCAGGCTGGCCTTGAACTCACGGAGATCTGCCTGATGTTTTTAAGGTCACACCTAAAATACCTATAAATACATTTATATATCATACATGTATTTATATATTATATAATTACATATGAGTGTGCATACATATTAAGTGCATATATCATAATTTGACAGTCTGTTTTGACTATCACTTATGTATGATAATTGCTGGCTTATTTGAATGCATTCTTTCTAGTTAGTTTTGCTATGCAATTTAGCTAGATTCAGATTCCTGGTTCCCTTCTTTACTTAAGTTCCTGTGCTCTCCCACCCATTTCGTCAGTGGCCCCTGCTGTCCTGGATGGGTTGTTTTCTGTTTTTGTATTTGAGTGATTTGCTATAAGAAACTATTTTTCTATCCTATATCAGGCACAGTGTCCTTATTGATGCCACATTCACAGTATTTGTAGACACTGTCCTTATAATATAGATAAATGTAGATAGCACTAATTCTGAGCCTTTGCTTATAAAGGTGGTTACTGGAATTATTTTCTTTGAAAAATAGTATTTGATGCACAACGAAAATATTAGATCATTTTTGGATTTTCATGCAGCAAATTTCTTTCTACTCTGTGCTCCACTGATTTCCTGTCTGAAATGCCCTCTTCCTCTCAGTCCTCAGGCTCCCCTATTTTGCCCCCTACCTTTGAGTTTCTTATTGTGAGAAACAAATTTATATCTTCTCCACCTGGATTTCAATTGCTAATGTTTATTTGAGTACTTGAGAATGTTGCCAAGAATGCGAAGCCCTCTGCTTGCTCAGCTGAGACTCTCTAAGGCCCAGGAGCTTTCCAGACTATCAGGGTTGGAGAGGACAAAGGCACAAACTGTCTTTCTGACATTAACCAGCATTATCCACTTAGCTGATGGCCAATAAACCTCATATGGCATCATTCTCAGTCTCATTCTCTTTCAGGAGACTTTAGCAATTAATATGATGTATCTCATCCATCAAATAAAATTTATGATAAATTAATTTTCATGTCAACAAACACAGGGAAAGTATTCAGCTTTAACATTAAAGTCCTGTTTAAATGTATTTCATTACAAAACACATTTAAATTTTATTTTATTAATTGATTTTACTTTTATATTTTATGAATTATGTCTCTCTAGTGGCCTCTCTCTCTCTCTCTCTCTCTCTCTCTCTCTCTCTCTCTCTCTCTCTCTGTATGTGTATGTGTATTTATGTGTCTGAATGTACTGATATATTCTATTGTGTGCATGTGTGGAAGACAGAGGACCTCTTGGGGGAATCAGTTCTCTCCTACCATTGTGTCCCATGTTTTTTT